AAAGTCGTGCGGGCTAATAGCTCATGAATTATCAAAACGTTTTTAAGAGCATTTCCCTWTGACATGTCTTCAAAAAGAGCGCATTTTTCTTCTATACATTTTGCGATGCGATATTCAGTAACTAAATTTTGTGGAATAAACTGTTTAATAATTCAAATATCAATGAAATTTATTAACGATATTTCTTTTCATGTCATTCAGGAAGCGTTTGATTTCAAGGGTGCTCAGAATAGGTCGATAGGTTCATTCATGATAACAGGTATCAGCTAACTAAATGACTTCTAGTTGAGAACTTTTTCAATTTTATTTCATTTTAATCATTCATTATATACTTTGTCTTGTATTATACATAGCAAAAATTCATCCAGTGCTTCCTTATTACTGAAAGTGAGCCTAAAAACGCTTTGAAAATAAAGTGCTTTTCATCTTTAGCAAATAGATTTCCTGGATGTGCAGACGCGTCGTAGTTATAACAAAATTGACTGGCGGGAATATTTTTTGATTTCGCTGTCCTGTGGATTTTTTGCTAGTGATGAATTTTTCTAATATTATTATTTTCAAAGATAWATGTTTGAGGAGAATTTTTGATGTTTCGACAAACATTTTGGCGCTTTTTTGTTCCTTTTCGTCGCGGAGTATGGGTTTGCTGTGGTGGTACACGACGGGAACCCTGTGTCGGTCCATGAAAAATGAGCTCGATGGTTTACCATTTTTTTCTTTGCTATGGTACTATGGTGCTTATTTGCACTAATCATCCAACGTACAGTCATTTTCACTTATGAAGCTAGGAATCATAAATGACATGAATGTCATCTGAGATACTTTTATAAAAGAAATATAAACTACCTGTCTTGAAGAGATGTTTGGCCCTGAATCTTTTCCATGTCATTTCCAAAAATAATATATTCAAATATAATATATTCACTAAATTTCTAAGGATTTTCAAAAAAGCTTGACTTTCAAATATATCCGTCAACTATGGCTAAGGAGTATTATTGAATATGACATCTTGGAAAATATTACTTCCAATAGACCAATCCTTAATTCGCTTGAATGAACACGAAACAATGGCTTCATTTCGAGGCTTGAGTTTTAACTTTTGTCGAAAACTCCAGCCTCGAAATGAAGCCATTGTTTCGTGTTCATCCAAGCGAATTAAGGATTGGTTCTATTGAGATGCATTACATAATTACAGTATATGAGTTATATGTGAGTACAATGGCGTTCTTTGGTCTAAAACTTTATTGGCGAGCATAGTCCTGTCCTGGCCTCTCGTTTCCGACGCTCACGGAATCGCTGGGGAAAGAGAGTCCAGTATAACTTCCATGCGCATGTGCAGGACCAGCCAATCAGAATAAAGTTGAATTTTAAGAGCCCGCAATTTATAATGGTCAGTGGTTTGTTTACCTCACGTGGTAGGTATATTCTGTCAAAAATTCGAAAAATAATGACGGTTGCTTCGGCTTGCAGGTTTTGCACTAAAACTTGCGCTCCAGCCAGGCGTTCGGTTCTCTATAGTGCTTACGGTGACTACACTGAAGTAGTATTTACATTTTTTAAGGCATAACTAACGGNTAAAATTCTTATTAACCGAGCAAGCATGGTCTAGATAAAAAATTTACTTTTACTTTTACACGTATTTGCGGTAAAAGAAAAGCTATATAGTCGCTGGGGGCGCGAGTAGGGGTCGTACTTTAATATTTTTAACTGTGTATAGTTTTTGTCTTCGATTGTAGCCGAAGCCTGATCCATATTAATGAGAGCAGTTAATTTATTAACTTTTAACCCCATTTAGACCCCAAGTGTCCAAAGTCTTCAATGGATCTGAAAATGTGTTAGTGTATGTGTATATACTGGAGATTGTTGCTCCCATTAGAGCACTTTCAATTAAAATAAAAATTCGGTTGAAACTTTTCATTTAGCTCGATCCTGCCTTGACCACCTCAAGAATGGCAAAACCAACGCTAACTACTACCAGATACTCACACCGAACGGAAGTCAGATGGTGTACTGTGACCTTGAAAGTGAACGTGGCTCTGCCTGGACACTGGTGATGTCCTATGAAACGAGGTATGCTAACAACAAAGACATCGCCCCTTTTAAGTACGGTTTGACACGAGACCTACCGGTCAACAACAAGAGCCCTAACTTCAACATGTACCGTATGAGCCATGCCCAGATGAAGAACATCCAGTCCCAGTCCACCCACTGGCGAGTCACGTGCAATAACCATGTTGACTATCGTGATTATGTACGTGTCAAGTTTCGTGACCTGGATCCCTTGAAATTCATTGGTAGTGGTGATTGCAAAAAGGTCGAATACATTAACGTCAGAGGCCACGTAGGGATCGGTGTTACAGCAGCTTTCTGGCAATATAATGATGAAATGCTTCACCACGACTCTGCTCACAATGGTTGTGACTTTGGTAGGAGTGTCGGTGCAGTGGATAGTGAAGACAACTTTGGGCTATACAAGAAAATCAATAGAAAGTTCCACTGTACTCGTGACGACTCAAGCACWACTAATACTTGGTTTGGCGGATATTTGTAAGAATGCTTTGCTGTGAGAGATACCTTTTTTGATTTCACTTTTTTCACCTTTTTTCTTTATTCAAAGTTTGTACATGAAGAAGGTACCTGATTATTGCGATTTGCTCCAAAGTACAATTGACAATTCACTTTAAAATATTTTTTTTTTCAAAACACGTAACAGGTGTCTCATTCAGCAATCATTTAAACACGGAATAATGAACAAACAAAACGTTTTAAGCATAACATTCTAGCTAAATTAATTTTTAACTGCAACAATTTAATAAGGCGGGTCTATAGGTAAAAATATAATGGGAAACAGCTGTAAACTAAGGCTAAAATAAACGATAATTGAACATGTACTCCACAGTATTATTTGTCTCCTATAGAAATTAGTCAACCTGCATATCACGATTAGTTTATTAATATTCAGTCTACTGCATTCATAAATGCCAACTTGCAAATTAGGCTAGCAATACCGAAAATTAAAATATAATTTGATAAAAGCAGCTTGGATCGAAAAAGGATCGAAGAAAAACAACGGAATTATTAACTTTTAAAGACTTAACCTTAATCGTTTTAGTGTTTTAATCTTTTTATTTGAGAGAATACTAGATTAGGGAACGTATCTCAATGTGAGATCGTTTCGAGATATTTATAAGCTGCACGAGCGAAAGAGGAAGTGAGACCTCATGACCTGCGGATCAAATTCACAGCACACAATGAAACGCGTCAGGTCCTATATCATATAAGTAATTTTATATACTTCACGTTCCTCGTTGTGCCAGTCTCATTAGTGAAGAAAAACGCCGGAATCACCAATGTCTTCTTCAAAAGATCCTGGCAAACCGTATTCTTGTAGCCACACAAAGTTCTTCATTGTAACATTCCTTTCGCATACATTGCTACTTTGTGCAGGCATCGTTCCTATGTATATCACAACAAATCATCGTCTAGTGACTGTCGAAGATCGCTTAACGGTGCACGATAYGGAACTCAATTCTTGCTGTCTTGTGAAAGAAGGATATGGTAATTTTCAAGGTAGGGAYGTCCGTCTCGATAGAAACGACGCGAACGTAGTCATGTTGTCGGTGCATAAATGAAATGACAATTAATATTTTGAAATCGGAATAGAAAATATGGTCTTTTCTTAATGTTATCATCTACACCTAGACTACACAACCGTTGTCCATGAAAAATATTTTTTTTTATTCAGGAATTAATAAAATAAAAAAGAAAGTCTTCGGCTTCAGTGGTCATCTTGTGTCTTTTAAATGTCTTTTAATGTATTCCTAATACCTAAATCTTTGGACAACGTTTTCATAATTAGATGTAAACATCGTAAGGATAAAAATAACATCATAGAAATCTAGCGGAAMTGTTACGCATTATTTGTGAAAAAATACCATGGAAAACCGATCGTCTAGCTTACAATAGAAGTAATAAACCTCCTCTAGTTGCACAATTTTTTGCACTACACTGATAGCCATGATAGCTGGTATTTCATTGAAGTGTATATGATTAATACTTCTATCAACTCAGAGAAAAAAAGGTATTCTTGTTTGTAATTGTTAGTTACGTTCAGTGATCGAAATACGACTCTTGCAATATCACCTGAGACCAGGTTAAACATTTTGATTCTACGCCAACTCTTAATATTTCCTTTACTTACGAACAGATCACGGGGAAACAAAGATCACACTGAATAGAGAAAAAGATGTTCAGACGCATTTTATCGACCGCGTAAAACGCAACACTCCTCACTTATCTCCTGATGTCTTGAATTCCATTCGCATCGAATTACGAAATCACATTTTAAACCTCACGGCATCGCAGTTTTGCCAAGCACCTGATAAGATTTGCACTCGTGGAGCTCCGGGTAAAAGAGGACTAAGGGGGAGAAGAGGGTCTCGAGGAAGAAGAGGTCGACCAGGTCCTAAAGGCCTTCCTGGAAARTATGGTAAACAAGGACTACGAGGGCCTCCTGGACCAAAGGGACAAAAGGGCGATATCGGRAATCGAGGACCGCCAGGTCTGCCGGGACYRAAAGGGGAACGAGGGAAAGAGGTTACTGAGCCTTCRGTAYTTATTTCACCATCGAYACTGACAGTTACTGAGAACCAGACAGCTACATTTCATTGCAATGCCCACGGTTATCCCAAACCACAGATAACATGGAAAATGGGATCTGGAAAACAGATTGATTTTGGTAAAACCAGAATAGATAAATCAGCAGGATTGCTTGAAATCTCGAACGTGAGTGAAAAAGATACAGGAAACTACACGTGCTCTGCAAAGAGTGTTCTCGGTGAGGATGCAAATATGGTATCACTTATTGTCAAATGTAAGTAAACGAGGTTTATTCGCTTTTTATCATCTTTCACCGTTGGAAGGATTTGAAAATCATGTGACAGTGTAGAATTTCATTTTGCATTTAATAATTTATGCAGGTGATTGGGACCTGTGCATTAAGATCCCCGCCGACCCTTTCAAGGGCAAAAGTCCGGTCCAACTCATATGTCTGGTCATGATGACCTCTGATTTATGAGGTTATTGCAAAACTAGCCGCATAACTACGTGAACTCTCGCTTTCTGTAGTGTTGTTAAATTATGCGCATGCTTAGTACTATCATAGCTGCGTACGCATGCGCTGATTTCGGTCATTTTGGTGCTTAACGAGGAAAATATTAAACAAAATAACACTAGCGATGCTGAATTTATAACTCGCCGCTTTCACGCGAGTAAGTACTATCAATTTTAATTTCTACAAAAAAGAAAAAAGCCTCTTATATTTGGATTTGACCATAACGTAAGCTAACCTATTATTCAAATCCACGTTTTGTTTAATTTTTGCTCATTATTTGGATATTTTGCCTGCAGGCTCAGTGTCGAGCTGTA